TCGGGATCATCACCATCAGAGTCCCCGTTTTCACTCTTCATCATCTGCAGTTTGTCCTGTTTTTGCTTCCAGCTCTCCATCCTCTCCTTCCATGCAATACTTCCATAGCCATAAGCAGCCAAGTCCTTGGAAGGATCCATGGATCTTGGTTGCACTGCAGCAGCCAATTGGCTTTCAATTATAGAAAAAAGAAAAGCCAAGATCCCCCAATTTGACTAAACAAGCAGCAAACAATCGGCAATGTAGAAATGATTACCAGGAACGGCAGAATCTGAAAAGGGGAGGGGGTGGATCCTTTTTCCACTGCCACCAATAGGAGCCATGTATGAAGGGACCAAAGCATGTTGTTCTGGAGGAATGTCATCAACCTGCAAGTCATGAAGGATCATTTTTTTAGTACAATATTTTTGGAAAACCTTAAGACAGGACAGGAAGCAGAGCTAGGTACCATTTGACCATTAGTAAGGAGAGGGACTTGGGGCAAAGGATGATGAAGGTCGTGCGGCAGATCGGGATCATAGTGACGCATAGATTCAGGTCCTCCAAGACCACCATGGTGCTGCATATCGTGTCTGTTGCTATTCCTTCCATCGAAATTGAACTCGTTTTCCAAATCATCAATGCCATCTTCTTCTTCATCCCCATGGACTCTCGCACATCCTTTGAGACGCTTGAATCTAGTCTTGCATTGAGGGCAGACTTGATTTCCTTCTCTACGCTCATACTCGTAACAAGTTCTACAAATGGGGAAGGCACACTCGTTGCAGGCCACAAAAAGCTCCCCGTCTACCGTAAGCCCCACATCATCTCCACATATATGGCATATTTGCCTGCTCACTCTCTCTAGCGATCTCGGCTGCAACCAAAAATTAACAAGCAAAATGTAGAGTTGAGACAGGATCAGTTGAAGAAGAAGAAAAGGAAGATGTAGGGAAAGAGAAATAGCTGCTTACAGCAGATTCTCCATCTCGACGGATAACAACAAGCTCATTTCTATTGTGAGAGCCGGCCACCAAACCTGCACTCACTTCCATTGCGGAATATTCCTCGGCAGCAATCTGTTTTTTTTTTTTTTCCTTTTCTGTTCTTGTTATTTATGATGGGATCGGTGCCAAAAGAAAGGCACACAAACAACTATTCATCTTGCTTGCTAGCCCTTCTGTTTTCAATTAACAATCAAGCATTTAATTAAAAGCTCAGCCATTAATCAAATCACGATCAAGTCTCCAAATCATTTATCTTTATTTTAATCCATACACATAAATAATTCCATCCACTTCATTTGATGAATTACAAGTCCTCCTCGTACATGCCAAACCACACAAAGGAGCAGCAATATCTTAGCTAGAACTAAATCAAAAACATACCTCAGCTTAAAAGCAAAAACCCACATTCAGAAACTGATTAACTTACAAGAACACGTTGAATCATGTCAAGATTTTGATGATCATGTCTTTACTAAAACAGCATAGTTTTAAGCAGTAAGATTTTGAAATTCTGTTTTGCAAAAACTGGAAACTTGGAGGGAAATCAAGGTTTGTCAGGTACCTTTTCTTCTCCTTAAAAGAGTACAATTCCCAGTGCTGTATTTAGAGATTATAAGACAAAGACAAGGCAAGGTAAGGGCTAGGCTAACCTTGTTGGCCCCCTAGCTCCTCTTCACTTTTCAGAAGAGGGGAGATTTAAAAGCAAGAAGACAGCAGTAAAGTGGGAGGTTTCAGAAGTGATGTCGGTAAGGAGATGTGTGTGGTTTTTTTTTGGGTGTAGAAAAGAGTAGTCAGCAACGGTAAACAACCACTTGCAGGGGTGAGAGACAGAGATGTGTTCCCATGCATGCACCGACAGTCCCACTAATAACATGGCCACTGGTTTGGTTTGGATCTACCTTAAACTAAACTAAATCATCTTCCTCGTAGAATAAATCGTTCCAAGGAGACTTTTTTCTTGATTAATCCTGCGATGAACTATTCCTAAGACCACATCAATCAATCATTGGGGTAATTATAGATCAGTCCCTAGTTTATATGCTCATGAACAGGTTAGTCTTGATCTTCAAATTCTTGCTAAGCTCTCCCTATACTTACTTTGGTTTCCCTTCATGAAATTAAATTTATTACACTTTCTTTTATGTAATTTTTCTTTTTATATAGAATATGCTTAATGATGATGTCAAAACTAGTTTTAATTGAAATGAAAATTTTCAACATGTTTGAGTCAATTAAAATGCTTTTAATGTAATGATAAAGTGAATAGTTTTTACTTATTTTTTTAACTAATAAAACAAAATACGGACAAGTACGTTTAACAGAGAGAGATATTGAGGAGAAATTAACAAGACTTTAAATGAAAAGGACTTATTTATGAATAATTACATAATTCAGGGACTGGATGAAAAGAGTTATATTCCCTGGATCAGTTAATCCCCTCCAGCTCACAAGATGGGCCCGCCTGTCTCAATAATATCGGAGGAACTGCTATGACATATTTAAACGACAAAATAAATAAATAAATAAATTCACTACGGTCCAGCTCAGGGAATTTGGTGGCTCGATAGGCTCAGACGACCTAATGCCCTGCCGTGGGTATCTTTAGCCGATCTTATATTATATTTTCCTAGTTAGAAAAAAATAAAATAAGAGGTTGGATGGAAACTTGAAGAAGCAGCCTCCGGGATCTGTGCTCTCACTGGAGGGCTGACCGAAGAAGACACTGCGCTGGTCTTCTTTATGGTAAAATGGTTTTCTGTTTTTCACCTTATTTTTATGTGTTTGGTGGAATTTTCAGCGAAGACTATTTTAAAAAAAATTAAATTTTTTATTTTAAATTATTATTTTTTTAATATTATCAAATTATTTTCATCAGCTAATATTAAAAAAAAATTTAAAAAAAAATTAATATATTTTTAAATAAAAAATACTTTGAAAAATAACTACAATTACATTAAAAAATAATCTTAATTAGTGTTTAATATTTTATTTTAAAAATATATTAAAATAATATTTTTTATTTTTACATTAACCTATCAAAAAAATAAAAAATATTAATTTTAAACTTAAAAAAAATACTACTAGTATTTAACTCTAAAAATAGAACTAATCGTGAAGCATCTAGCGTTATATTTTTTAAAAAGGAGTAAAAATACGTCATTTAAGACCTCACTTTGTTTCTATTAATTTGATTAAATTATTTAAATTATTTTTAAATTTGGATAGGTCAGCAAGAAAAACAAAACAAAACATTATTATTTTAATAAAAATAATTGAAGCGAATAAACATTCCTTGTGAATATCACACAAATATAAAATTCATCATAACAATTATTTATGACTGTACTTAAATATATATAACATTAAAGCATCTAATAATCTTTTTTGCGACAATTTGCATTGCAATGGGCTATGTGTATTTTTGTCTATAGAGCCCATATATGTTTGGGCCTGTTTAGGGCTTTTAACATGCATATGTTATCTATCACTTGGGCTTGGCCTTCTCATCAACGAAACCAATTCACGACTTTGACCACCGAGGGAAAGAGACGAAGAGGTGGGAGAGGAGAGATAGTACTCTCTCTTGCCAATGTTGCCACGTAATGACATTTTCCACGAAGGAATTATTCGCAAATTTCCTTCTTATCATTTAAATTATTTTTATGGTGAGTGTTGTTTTTATGTGAAAAAAAAATTAATAAGTTGAAAAATCATTTAAATTAAATTAAATTATAAACATTTAATACAATTTTATGTTTGAAAATTTTTAAGGGTTAAGAATTGAATTCTAAATGGAACTCAATCTCTAAAAATGCTATAAAAGTAAATTAGATATCAACTTATTTTATTTACAAATTTCAAAGTGAAGAAAATTAATATTAAAATTAACTCTTCTAAAATATTTATTTAGCTCTTTTTTGATTTTTTTTTAAGAAGTAAGATGAAGGTAACGAAAATAATATAGGAAACATAATAAATTTAATTTAATCTTTTTTAAACATATAAATTTAATTTATTTAATAATTAAATTCCAATCAAAGACAATAATTGACTTATAAAGAATCTCTTATTCTTTTCTTCTCCAGACGTCAGCACATGGATATATATATATAACACATGAAAGCTATTGATTAAGAAAAAATAAATAAACCAAAGAATAAGAAAAAAGCACCATTATCCCAAGAAAGTGATGGCTAATTTGAAAACAGCTAAAATAATTATAAGGCTTATGGGGCCCAGTAGTTGGGCATGCGACTGTTAATTTGAGCAGAAGGCCTGACCCGAGCCCAACTGAATTGTCGTCTAACCATTGGAAGTTAGAGACTTGAATTTGGACCCCATGGCCTTAGCTAAGGCTTCAATATGAAGCTAAAATGTCATTTTTTAATTTTAATTTTAATTTTAATTTGATTTTTATTTCTTAACCACGAATTTCTATTACCTACAGCTTTGTCACTCCCCTTTCCCTTTACTTTATCCTATGAAAATGATGCAAGGATCCACAATAAAGAAATAAAAAACACTTTATAAATCGAAATATTAACTAATAAAACCATAAAAAAATATTGAATCACATTGAATAAATCAAATTATAGTTGTGATGCAAATTTCTTTTTAAAAATATTTTTTGAATTGAAAAATATTTTTTTATTTTTAATATCAACAAATTAAAATTATCAGAAAATATTAAAATAATCATAAATTTAATATTTTGTTTTATGCTAAATACATTTTTAAAATATAACTTTAAATATAAAAATAAATGGTGTAGAAAACATAAAAATTATGTTAAAAATAAAAATATTTAAGTGGATGATAAGAAAAATTGATTCTATTATTTCTTGTTAAATTGTTAATAATTGCAAATCCAATTTTTTAACTAAGAAAAAAAGATTAAAAAAAATAGCTATGCTCCCCATAGTTCGAGAATTCTAATTGTGTCTACTAAACGATGCCGTTGCTACTTTCTCCGTGGAAATAACACTTTCCTTTACCCCTCCAGAAAGCACAAAACCGAGAATTCTAATTGCGTCTGTTAAACGATGCCGTTGCTACTTTCTCCGTGGAGATAACACTTTCCTTAACCCCTCCAAAAACCACAAAACCCAGAAATTTCCCTTTTCACTTGCACTGGAAAAGAGCTTCAATGGCATCCTTGTTGGTCTCCATCAACTTCTCTATGCCTCTCTCCGCCCCTAAATTCTCATTCAGGGTAAAAAATCAGTCATGCCCATCTTTTTAAAGCCAACAATTCTTATGTTTAACTTATTTCTTCTTGAGTTTAATTTCATTTTAGTGATGGAAGAATTGGGATTTCATAGTTGAAAGGATGTCCCTTTTGTGACTGTGAATTTTTGCTGCTTATTCTTATGATATTATTGAATAATTAAGTGGGTTTTGTTTTGTTTTGTTTTCTACTTCGTTTTTTGGAAGAGTGGTTTTTGTCATAAAGGAACGAACTTTATGGTGGAAAACAGTGCTAGAGACAGTATAATGAGGTTGAGGTGCTTATGAATTTGTTGTTTTTGTTTTATTTAGTTGGTGTTTTGGATGTGATTGAGGAAAATTAAGGGTTGTTATCTTGTAGGATTTGGAGTTTGATCATCGCCCTTCTGTTTCCTTTAAAGATATGGATACGTTACCTGAAAATGTAGAGAAAACTATAATCCTGATGGCTCTTTCGAAGGAAACTATGAACGCATATTGTGTGAAAAGAGATGAACCATTGTAGATTACTTCTCATTTTGAAATTTTGAATACAACATTGCAAACCACTGGATGTAAGTATTAGTTAGTTGTTGGAAATGATGAAATAGCTAACATTGAAAGCGCAAAATTTATGAGAGGGGAGCATGTAGAATAGTCTGCATGGGTACAGTAATCATCGCTTCCCTAAAGTTTAGAGAGGATAAATGTTTTCACATTAGAAGCCAGTTAAAAGATTTGAGATTGAACAACTTTAAGCGCAATATCAAGTAAAATTATAGTTTTGTTACAGAAGCTGATTGGTGGGTTAATTACGAAGTCTGTGCTTGTCATTTGCTTCTAGCTATTGAGTACTGGGCGGCATGAAAATTAATTATCAACTCTCTTATTGAAAACTAACAATTGGGTGAATGAGTTTTCGCTTTGTGATTTTTATGTGTTTTTTCTTCCAGGAATTACAACAAAGGAAATCAGCTTTTACTTGACTATCAAGCCAAGCAACAACCAGGACAGGTATCTTAGTTTCACGCCAGCTACCAAAAAGAGTTGAAGAAAGATGATTAATCATTTTCAGTTGATAGTTTAAATCATTTTTGCATGTCATGGTAACACTAACTTTGAAAATAAGTAACTTTTATAACATGATATGTTGATTTCAGTTATTTAACTATTATAAGATGATATGTTGATTTCAATTAGAGGTGCACCACGGAGTGAGGTATGTAAGGGTTTAACTGAGTAAGGAAAACTTCTTGTTAAAATAAAAAAGGAAAGGAAAGAAAAAGGAAAGCAGTCATTGGAAATGCTAATAGATAATGCATAAGAAACATTTAGGCCTGCCCTTAACTTGCTCTCTTATATGTCTTCAAATTTTGTTTACAGCAACCAACCGATTGGTCCCTTGCAACTCAATTAGAGATCACTTTCTGTGAATCAGAGCTTCCGTGGATATCTAACAACACCCACCAACCTTTATTACGAACTTGTTTCTAGTTGTATGCATGTAAGTTCTTATACTCACAAAACAGTAACTGGTTATTGGGTGGGACCAGATATAGATGATGGTCGAGGATTTGTAGAAGCTTTTGTTAATCAAATTTCTTGATTTTTTTAAAATCATGAATGCTCTGAATGGCTCATTACTTAATTCTCGTACTGTAGAATTGATGTTGAATGTGAAGAAATATCAGAAATATCAGAGAATAATGAATTGCTTTTGATAATTAGACCAAAGTACTATAATTATGAAACCGTCCCTTTGCTTTAATGAAAAAAATTTCATTATACATATGAATCTCCTCTGAAATTTTATGATGGCGTGTTGGAATTAGGAGCCATGTACTTCTACCCAAACCACAAGAAAGAACAAAAGCTTGCTTACACACCTACCAAGATATTCTGTTTTATGTTCTTGATGATGTTGATGGTGGAGATTTTTTATGAAATTCAATTTGAAGTGATTATATCTGTTTGTTTCAGTCAGAGCTATGTTATAACAGCATCATTTTCTTGGTACTAATATTGCAAAAGTTTTGGCATGTTCATGCTGTGGATGGAATACTTGATTTTTGTTTTTACCCATTGTCATTGCTGAATGACACTGGTGTATTTTATCTTGCATCAATTTAGTTCCTGGGACCGTTGAAGATCAAGGTGAGGATTTTGTTTTCAAGCTTGAAATACGAATGCAGCTCTTGAATCTGTGTCGTAGGGCTCGCAACAATTTGCAATAATGCTGCACTTGCTTATGGCAAGCTAATGCATTGCACATGGACAACCCATGATCATATTATCCTGTCCTGTAAAATTGGTGCACAAAACGTGGTCCAACACTTGTTCGGTTTGGTTTAATTCGGATTCACTGTTGCCAAGTGCTTTCCGACAAGCAATGTGGTGCAACCAGGTTGTGAAACTCAATGCCGTGATTCACGGTCGGAGCCCATGGAAGCAGCATTGATTGAAATCATTCTATCATGAATGTCATTACCTCATATTGCATTGACATATAGTTGGTCCCAGAATCTCGAGGTTATCAAATAATTCATTGTATCAAGAAAACCCTTAATGATGTTATTTGCGTTGGTATAGTTGGCACTTGGAATGTTTTCAAGTTCCATCCTTTGTCTCTCACATTTTCTCATATCATGTATGATTTCTCTCATTTTGTTGGGAAACAACTTTAAGTGGGACGTCTGTCCTTTCCTCTCCCTTTTCTATCAAGAACAACTAAGATTCCATCTTTTGTTGAAACAGATGATAGTTGAGAAGTGGTCCCAAAGAGTTTAATGGAGCCCTTGGTTGTATACTGAAGCTTGAAACCCAAACTCAATTTCTAACATTAATTTATCAGGGTTCTATCAATCATCTTTTTATGGGGAGATTACCGATCCATTTACTGGTACAGTTAAAAATAAGCATGCTTCAGATTTTGATAGGATTTTCTCGACAAAACACGTTATGTAAAGCCTCAATATTAGTGGTCCCGATTCTAGGGCTATGCAAACTCTGAATCTAGTACATATGTAATCTTTTTTAGCCTTAAGTTGACTAAATAATTATGCATCTGGTAACTTCACTTGTATTCCAGAGGAAGAATAAAAAAAAAACAGGTTACAGCTACTTCTCTTTCAGGAAAGTGCGGTGCATAGATGAGCGAGAGGATTCAAGTACGTATTTACAAGAAGGAAATTCTTAAAAATAATGTCACTGTACATATGACTTGGTCAATCGTCTCCTTTCCTCTCCTCATTCATAGTACATGTAAGCAGAAGGGGAGAGATAAGGGTGCGCAACAGGACTGCTGAAAGAGCAAATCTGAACCCAGTAAGAACAACAATGGGAGGTGCAATCATTATTTGCTAATTTCTTGAGCTACATCTGGTTAATGTTGGAGAACAACTGAAATGTATACAATCTCCGTTTAGGTTCTTGAATTCGATCTGTAGATGCGGTTTCAGTTCGAAGTTTAATGGAGCTGCCTTCAACATCAGGATTTATGGAAATAGATGAACAAATATTAATGAACGCAACAGCTGGTTCTAGCAAGCTGCTGTAGCTGTCTTTTGGTCCGATATTCTTCATGATGAAAATCATCAAGATTGAATTAGATAAAAAGGGATCAAGATTACACAGAGATATTCCATTTACAGAATGGCGGAAGCAAAACAAGGGAGATCTAGCATTAAAGCCAAGCAAAAAATTTCTGCGATCTGCAAATGGCACTTATAGCTAAACTATCTGTCACTGAGCTTACTTCTCCATCTGTTAATGTGTGTGCACAAAACTATGTTTGGTTCAAGGCCGTGCTTGAATTTTTGGGTGGCTTTGTGTCATGTATATGTATAATCATGTATAATCAAGGTATACTGGTATTAGAACCAGTACCTAGTGAGATAATATACAAGCTATGAACAAGAACAGCACTGTTTTTCACCCATGCACAACAAACAGATAGATGTGGATGCGTCTGGGAGAGAGTGGGAAAGGAGGAGAATACGCTGGACTGATGCTATAAATTAAGAACAAAGAAGAAACATAATTTCATTTTGATTAACGGTAGGAGTTAAAAAGAAAATTAGCTTCCATTTTATATTAACTGAAAACAATTTTTTTACTGCAATCTGAGGTACTCACCTTCGTATCTGAAATCAACTAACAGAAAATTAGAGGTGTACTTACTCGAAAGCAACAAAAATTTGTTTATAATAGTTTGATTAGCCTTATATAGTCCTGATTTCTAAAATCTAATTAGCATGTACAGTGCTTATGAACAAGCCAACTTGTTAATGGTGTGAGTGTATTCAGCAATCACCATCACATGCATCAAGCTAAGAGATTATGTGAAAATTAATATTGGAAGCAAAATCCATGGTAATTAAGTGAAGCATGCCATCTAAAGCATAATATAGCTAAAATTTTACAGATTTTTCTCCTTGAGGAAATAAGAAAGAAACCCTAAACTCATGAGAATGATTAAACATTATACCTCAGAGGAGTAACTCATGAATTCACACAAGAGTGAGTCAAAGCTTTTGCAAGTCAAGAACTTCAAATATTGCATTTTGTCAAGATCCCAAATCTCTATCAAGCAGCCAAATCTCCAAATTCCTTTATCCTTTTTGTTCATCAGTATCTTCATCTTCTTCTACCTCGTTATCTTCAATATTCATAGAGAAAACTGAGCAATATTTCTCAGGATGGATTTGTGAAAGAGCTGCTGTTGCCCTTATCAAGAATCCTAAATTCTATTCCTTTAGGAGCTTCAATTTGCTGCTGTGGTTGGAAACTTATATGGTTGGATTCTTCAATGTCTTGTTCAGTGCCAGAAGCTTTGTGTTGATTAGCTGATCTCTCCCTTTCAACTTCTCTATATCTATGCAAGTACCTTACTATAGCCTCGGCATAGTCATCAAACCCTAGAGAACTGAGAGCCCAACAGATGTCATCTCCGTTCACTGTCTTGCGATTCTCCTTATGACACTTGTCGGATGCCTCTCCGGTTACAAAACTTATAAATTCCGTTGCACATTCTTGCATTGTTTGTTTTGCTTCTTTGGAAATCTTGGCAGTTGGTGGCAGGATTTGCTTCATAATCCGACCCACATTGGCAATAGGCAACAATTTATCTTGCTCCTCCTCCATTTCTTTTTGGTTTGCTTATGAATTTCTTTTTTGCTTTGCAAACTCCCATGTGTATATATGCATAAACACATCTGTATCGCTCAGTAAGCACATGTCCATGCATCACATACCATGTGATACACAACATATTGATGCTACATATACCCATACCGTGTTTTTATAATATAGTTATACATATTACTAATTCAGAGATACGGTTTAAACCAACAAAATTTAAATTTGTAAATATCATAAAAAATAAAATAAAATTAGAAACATTCTTATAATCTTTATAAATAATTGGTTTTTTGAGTGAATCGATCACTGATTTTTTTAATCTATTTATGAATTGAACAATAAATTATATTTCTCGATATCTGCACATAAATAATTATAGAGTATTTATAGCTAAAATATTATCGAAATATCCATAATCAAATTATAAATCCGTGATTGTTGAGATTTTAAAATTAAATTTGGAATTCATCTCTTTGTTATTATAAAAACTATCATAATTAACCAAAACAACTTACTTTACCAATTGAATCTGAGAAAATATGACATGATACAACTTAAAGGGTTACCTCCATTCTCCAATTATTAAGTAACCTAATTATAATTTTGGAAGAAAAAACAACTGGAACAAAAGAAACGAAAACCCTATTCGATCGTTGATCAGCAGCGTCTTCTTTGCCAGCTAAATTTGAGAACATGGCTTGGTGAAGTGAACATAAACATTATAGTAACCCTAGCTAGCAAATTAACCTAGCAAGTCCCCAAGCTGCAAAGCTTATTTTATGGTCCCCCCCCTGGTAGAACCTCTATTTTAAACTCCATAAAATCTGCAACCATTTCTGCTTTGCAGTGTCTTCGGATTGTTCATATAATACTATTTTCTACTATCCAAATGAGTGGACTCCGTTTGTGCACGTTTGCATTTTGGGGATTAACCTAAACACAGTACCTAAAAATTAGAACTGATTGAAGCCCTAGCTAGTACTGCCAGGGTCTGATTACCTCAAGCTTAGGTTAGTTTTTAGGTTCTGTCTCTGTATCTTGCGGCAAAGCATTTGCATTATGAGTATATATGAACAGTTTGGTCGGTCAAATTAGTGGGAATTCAAAGTTTTAGATATTGATTTTTGCAGAACTGAAATTAGGTCTCCAAAGGGACTCCTAAAATTGAGATTCTTAAATCTGCAGGAAGACTGATAAGTACTGCCAAATCTTGAACTGGGCAGGGATGCTTTTTTTCATGGCTAGCTATACTGCCTAGTCTCGATGCATGTAAATAATCCAACGATATTGCACATTCTGTTTTCTTAATGGTTAATTTGCACCAAATTAAAATTAAAATTAAAAAGATATGCACATTCAGATGATTATATATATAATCGGTATTTTAGATAATTTCAAAATAAATTTCTATATTTTCAAAGATAATTTCTGTTTTTTGTGAACAAATTAGCACTGATTAAATTTTCTTGGTTAATAATTTTGTAGGCATAGTATATATGGAATCGAATCAAGCTCATTTCTTTTTTTTAGGCATAATGGTACAATAATTGATAAACTAAATATATTCAACAGAAATTGCACTAATTAATGTAATTAAATCTTGGACGTGCTTCTTTAATTTATAATAAGGTGAAATAATATTGGTGGGGCATGTAATCTAGATTTTTAGCACGATATATCTTTGAATAAAATCCAGTACGGTCGATTAACAGCCGTCCAATTGGATAAATTAATGCTTAGTTTCTTTCATATTCTTGTAATCTGATTTGATCATCACCCTTTATCACTAATGCGTTAGACCAAAGTAGTAACATTGGGGTCGTCAGCCATTAATTAATAATCCAATAAATTCTTCCAGTTCATGATCATTCAGGCATGCATGTTAACTTTAATCATTATTTCCGAAAACTTACTTTTAAAAATCTTCATAGCTTTGAACATATCATACGAAATATATATTTTTTATACCTTGTGAGATTCATCTAATTATAGCCCTAAATTAAATATCTTTCGTGCGTGTACTATTAATTATTTACGCACATATAATTTAGGTTTATTTTTCATTAATTATATTTCTCGTAAATATAATGGATAACTAGTCAATCTCAAGCTGATTAAATAGAAATTAACTTAATCTTGATACATGAAAGGTAACTTAAGCATATATTTTGGGTTTAATCAAGCCTAAACTTATTAATTTGCCCATGAATAATCCTTAATTTTAATTCAGGCAAGAAACATGAAGGTGAGAGCTCTTTTAATAACCATGTTTTCGGGGGAAAAAAATTATATTCTCTATTTTCAGGGAAAAGACCGCCTTTACCTGCTAATAATTACTTGTTGGTAATCTAAGAATACATGTCTAACCGTTGAAAGACATTAAAACAATGTTTGAAAATACAGTTAAAATTATATTTTTTTAAAAAAATTATATTTTTAGATATTTTAATATGTTGATGTTAAAAATAATTTTAAAAAAATAAAAATATTATTTTAATATATTTTAAAATAAAAAATACTTTAATCGAAAACTACAACTATCTTCTTAAACATTTAATAAAAAACCCAT